ATTTGCAGCCTGATATGTTTATCTACTACTAATTTTCTCTTGTTGTTTTTTTCCAATCCATGAAGTTTAACTTTCTTAAACCAGGTAAGTGGGTATCCATTGGCAGTAGTGCACAGAGCTTCTGGGTCTGTGAAGTGAAGCCAATGCGGCAAGTGTTTTAAACCTGCATTTTTTCCAATGGTGCCAATGCCATGTATCAAGAAATCATCCTTTGGACAACAGTTAAGCCAGATCATCTAAACCAATTCATTTGAAGAAAAAAAGTGAAAGTGAGTGCAAATGTTGGTAATAATCCCTCATTGCACAGAAAAACTGCAAGCACAACTACAATAGGATGATGGGTAATAATTCTACCATTCGTCTTGATTTTCTCACAACCTGTCTACTCCTATTCTTGCTCATGTTTCTTCTTCTCCTTTTTTACTTTTTAGGCATGGAAATGATGAATATACAAATACTGTGGTATATGTGTTGGTATATCATATTGCAGACTCCATATACACCAATAAGGACTGTGAGATGTGGTTGAGAGCTCCACTTAACCTTGAGTTAAGATTATTTTGTCAACCTTGCAGCTCATTTGCATAGTCATCATAACCATTCATACAAATAAAAAAGGAGAAGAAGAAACATTAGCAAGAAGTAAAGCAGACAGGTTTGTCACTTTATTTTTATTATCTAGAGCCAGTCTTTTGTTTGTCTGTTCTGGTCTACTGTAGGAACATGGCAATTCAACATGACGGACTCCGTGAAAGGCAACCCGCAGCCTCTGTAGATATCAAAGGCTCATTCTAAGGTAACAAAACACAACGATTCTTATATTCAGGTGATTATACACTAATGAAAACCGAGTATTATATTCCATTTCTTTAAAATCTTTTTTTTAAAGTTATATTTTTTGGCCTTTTCATGCCTTTATTTGATACAGACAGCTGAAGAATGAGAGGAAAGAGGGGTAGAGAAAGAGGGGATGACACACAGCAAAGGGCCGCAGGTTGGACTCAAACCCAGGCTGCTGCAGCAACTCCGTATATGGGTCGCCAGCTCTACCGACTGAGCTAAGCAGGCACCCATTTTATTCCATTTCTGACAATAAATACTCAATGTTACACACTCGACCTTGAGACACTAGAGAGTAAAACATACTTTTAGAGAGTAAAACATACTTTTAGAGAGTAAAACATACGTTTACTCTCTAGCATTTGAATCCTCCTGATGTGGCTGAATCCTTGTCCAATTCTGTGTGTTGTGTATCTGTATCTATGAGCTGTGTGTACTGATGTTTATGTTGGTGGGTTTTTCTGTTCTTTTTCTCTTAATTGTGATTTTATCTACCTGCTTTGGTCTGTATAGCACTTTGGTCAATAAGATTTGTTTTTTAATGTGGTTTATTCATAAATTTGATTTGATTCTATTCCAAAATTTAATATGAAAATGTAATCTGGTCAGTATTACGTTTCCTACTAAATGTATTTGCTAAAGCAAATTAAATCAGTGGCACCTGAAAGTCAGCTTCAGGAGAGAGAGCTGGTGACAAAGTGTAACAGTATGTGAGGAGCTAGATGCTGCAGATGGCAGTGTGAGAGGTTGCTGCTAAAGGCTCCTGTGTAGGCTTCTGAATTCCACTGATCCCTCAAACAAAGCCTTCCATCAAATGAGAACCAGGCTGCAGTGTGGGATTTTCATTAATGCTGCTTACCATCTCAAACCCTCGGCTGTCCCTTTGAACACACCCTCCATCCTGTGTTGTGTGCAGGCCTTTCCCTCTCCCCTTGGCCCTCTAATGGCTCGGACTTTTATTACCTGGGCTGATGGGACATCTATAAAGAGACGCTCTGCCAGCAAGATGGCAAACACGTTTCTTTCTCAGTCCTCGTGTGTCTTCTTGAGAGAAGCTTAAAGAGTAATAGAGCTTCTGGGAGCCCTCGCTGTTCACCGGGGGATGCGGTCTGGCATCATCTGGCTGAGGGAAATTGGTAGGGAATGCGCGGTGTGACAGGTTCATTGATGGCAGCCTATTATATTGGTTTCCTGCAACAGAACCACATGAACATCTGTGCATGTCATTTTCAATGACCCACCTCAGGGCCGTGGTACCATTACAGGAAGCTCTCGGGGATCGGAGGCTGTCTTTGGCGGTACCAACAGTTGAGTCCCACACAATAGCTCCCACAGGGTGCAGAATCGTAACTCTTTGTAAAGAAAAGCCTCTCTTTGCACTTATTTGCTCTGATGCATATAACTGTAAGTAACTTTAGTAAAGTAAGTTTCTGGTACTGTACTTTGTATTGATTTTCTTTTCATGCAAGTGTTTATGACCATGGCTGCGGTGTGAAAACGATGGTATCAAAGGAAATTTACAGATGTGGCAAGCTGTAAAAGGCTGCGAATTAAATGTTTAGGGATGTAAAAAGCTTTTCTTGCACTTTTCCCAGGCTCTATATGTCACTGGCAAATTTAGAAAGTGCGAACGTACAGTGCGGCGCTCCCTATCACAGGGACAAAGGCAAAGGGAAAGCAGATTGCCTCCATTCAGATCTGTGCAGTGCTTGTCACAGTCGTGATGACAAACAGGCTGTAAGAGACCGCCTCACACTCATTTGTCAAACTTGCTCTGACATCAAGAATGCTTTGGCTTTCAGGGCTGATAAGAGCAGCAGTGTAATCTGTCTTCAAGTCAGTTTAAAAATACAATGGGCGACTGTATGCTTTTCATCACCTTGAATGGATAGGTGATAAAGGGAAAAGAAAAACTGTATGTTCAAAGGCTTAGTGCTTTTCTTTCAAACCCTTCATTCACTTTATATATTATAACATTTTCTAACTGACACTTTGAGTGGAATCATTAAAATATCTCTTTATAGTACAACTCTTTTGTGGCACCTAATGATCAGGGATGTTTAATGCACATAAATCCTCCATACAGGTAAAATATGAAACATTTTGAGTATTGAGCTTGCCAAAAGAACAAAATTATAACAACGGAATCTGTCATCACATGTCAAAACATTGTTTTTCACTACACTGTGAATTATGCTGCCAATAAACATCTGGTTTGTTATATATTGTTGCAATCAACGTAAAACTTGTCATATTTTGTAAAAAGTGCTATATTGAGAAATGTAGCTGTCTGCATACCAACCATCCTCTTTCATCTTCTCAGACAGACAGATGTCAAATAGCTTTACTTAACTCTTTATCTGTTAGCTGTCTGGGACTGCTGTCAACTGTCACCAGTCAGATCTCTCTGTTGTTGTCATGTTGAACCTGCTCACCTTCTTCCCCACTGAAGTCAAACACATTGTGGGACAGAGCAATTACCACACATAGAGAGAGCATGAATACAATATTTTGTATGCTAATGGTCATTTTGGTGGCACAATTGGCCTGTTAAGCTGCGTTGTGATTTCATGTGAAGCTAATTTTTGCCTCATTATGTTATGTACGAATTTGGCCACTTCACTTTTGCAGTCTGTTTTTTTTCATCATTAAGGGCTTGAAACATGATGGGCCAACTGTATAGATGTAGCTGTAGCCTGCTAGCAGTGTGTGCACCAACCATTTGTTATGTCTCTGTTCATGGATGGCATGAACAGGTTTGCAGTTCAATCCCTGACTCCTCCTGTCCACATATTTCCTTAAGTGAGATACTGAACCCCAAGGCTAGTGACTTGCATATGTGTTAAGTTAGATTTTTCCTTGCCACCGTTGCCAAGTGCTTGCTCATGGTGGGATTTGTTGGGTCTCTGTAAATAATGCGTATAAGGAGTTTGGTCTAGACCTGCTTCTATTTGAAAAGTGTCCTGAGATAACTTCTGTTATGAATTGGCGCTATACAAATAAAATTGAATTGAATTGAACTTTGCTCCCTTTATTGGTCCCTGTAGGGAAATTCATTCTTTGCATTTGACTCATAAGTACAAGGAGCACTGGGTGCCCAACTCCAGATTTGAGTAATAAATTAATATTTAATGCTAATGCCAGTCCAGTTTTTAGTTATCTTAAATGCAGAAAACTGTATAATGGTGCTACCAGAGGGGAAGAGGTTAATTTTATGGATAGCGTGATTGCATGAGTACAGAAAATGTAATGCTAATTTATTTTCGATTCAATAGTTTTTGTGTACACTTGGAACTTTTAGGCCACAGGAAGGGTCACGGGGGAAATCCAGCCATTGATTATAGGAAATTAAGCTATTAGTTTTAAACATACAGTTTCCTGGGGAAAAAATGTCCAAAGAAAATTCATATAGCCCCAAATCACAAATTTGCCAAAAAGGGCTGTACCATATGTACACCCTCTATCCTTTGACCCTCCATTCTGAAAAATGTTGTGTCTACAGATCAGACTGAAATAACAATAGTCAAATTATGACATGGACATTTCTATTTTTTTATATATATATTTTATTAAATATTAAATATATATATTATTAATCAGGTTGGTGTTCGTGTGTTTACTTAGATAACTGGCAAACAATGCTCCATCTAAATGTAACATAAACACAATGATATTTACAGTATTATAGATAGATAGATAGATAGAATAGGATAGATAGATAGATAGATAGATAGATAGATAGATAGATAGATAGATAGATTAGAAATACTTTATTTATCCCCGAAGGAAAATTATAATGTTTATAGCAGCTGATTAAGAGTTATTAATTATTAGAAAGTCTTATTGCAGTGGGGAGGAATGATATGATTTTCTATATCTTTCCTTAGAGCAGCGGGGATGAATGAGTCTGTTGCTGAAGCTGCTCTTTAGCTTGTCCAGTGTTGTGTGGAGGGGGTGGGAGGGATTGTCCATGATTGCCAGCAGTTTTGCCAGCATCCTCTCCTCCACCACCTCCTCCAGGGTGACAAGCTTAGAGCAACAACAGACTCTGCTTCTTAATGACGTTTTTTCAGTCTGTTGGCGTCCTTTGCCTTGATGCCGCACGCCCAGAACACGCGCACAAAAGAGACTGATAAAACATCTTGCAGACATTGAAGGACCTGAGCCTCCTCAGGAAGTAAAGCCGGCTCAGGCCCTTCTTGTAGATGGCCTCTGAGTTAGTGGACCAGTCCAGTTTGTTGTCCAGTGTGACACCCAAGTACTTATACGCCGACACCATATCCACATCTGTCCCACCGATGCTGACAGGTTAGCTTTTTATCTTCATTTGTATGCAAACTAGGCATGTATTTTATGTATCATGGCTACACACAATGATTATGTAATCATGGCCATAGCTGTGCTATGACTGTTGTCTTTGTTGTATTTGTCTTATTTGTCCACTGCACAAATTAAGTTCCTGAAAGTAAAGTAGTTTGAATTGAATTGTATTGTATTCATGACGTGTAGAAAAAGAGAAAACACAACATTTTGGTTTGTCAGTTAGCGGGGTATTGACTATCAACAGGTAGCCTAACATTATGTGAAAAACCTATGTCGAAACTAAGTGAAAAAAGCTGGTGCATCGATAACTGTAACATTGCGACAAATTGCAATGAAAACAGACCTACTTATGAAAACATACGTCATGATGTACTTGAAGCATGTGACTCAAGCGTCCATTGAAGCCCGTGCTCCATGGAGAGATAAAAAATTAGCAGCATTATAAAAAAACACAGCAATGAGGAGATCTACATAACCTTCATCAAATTAACAGATGAAACAAGCATATGTCATATTTCAATCAGGTTTTTTATCAATGCATACTAAGAAATACATTACTACCCAATACTGCTCAACAGATACTTTGCAGCAATTTTAACGGTTTCCCCACATAAACTTTACATGCCAAGTATACATTTTATTCTTTTGTTTACATTAACATATTTTAAAGGCACAGAACATACTAGATCAATTTACTAGATCAAAGTACTAGATACAACACTTTTGGCATGTTACACCTACAGTAAGAGTGCAGGTAGAAGTGCTGCCACTTTTGGAGGTGGCAGCTGCCAAAGACTGTAGACACACAGCAGCAACTTACAAGTACTTCAGCTTTTGTCTATGACAGCGCTGTCATCTGAAAACTCAACCCCAACCTTGTACATTACCCAGGCTGCCAAATATAAATACAGGCATCCATATTCAGGTTGTGAGACAGCATACGCCAGAGGCTGGTACCTTTACTGAGGAAACAACAAACTCCACAGCTTCAAACCCTGAAGTTAAGCTTTAAGCAAACTAGTTTATACACAAGGTTGGATTACCACCAGGCAAACTACACGGC